CTAATAGAACTTTGCGTGTCACAACCTTCGTACAGAGCAAGATCTATAATTAGCATGTGTGACGTCCTAACAATGGCGCTGCTGTAGTTTTCATCTATGTTCCACGCTGGGGCGTGTCTTCACCAGGATCACGTGGTCATTATTCGGGATCAAAACAAGAGGTTGTTATGCCCTTCCCCCCCCCCCCCTCACCATCAGGGGCTGGCGGAGTCCATCACACCGCAAGTGACACGTGGTCAATCGGCCAATCTCTAAGCCAAGGATTAACTGTCCTGTTTCACCCCTCCCTCCCCCCTATCTGGCAATAACCCCACCCCCTTTAAATTCCATTATATACCTATACTGTCCTCAGTAGCGTACGCAGGGGGGAGCAGGGGGAGCGGCCGCTCCCCCTCTGGCCATTTTCAGCAAAGTGGCGCCTTTTTGAAAACTTTTTAAACTCAAAGTTTTAAACAATGATGTTTGTTAAAAAATTATTTTTGGTCGGCACATCTATGTAAATCACAAGATTTCTTTTCATGCAGCAATTAAGCAGAATTGTACTATTCTAGTAGCGTCTACGTTTACAACACGTATTAACAGCTGTATCAAGTTTGTCATTCTAAAAATAACCATTACGATGCATTGCAATTTTTAAAAACCTTTACGTGTAGTACCATTTGGCAAGAGGGGTGTTAAGTTTAAGGCAACTGCATAATGTATTTGCTTAAGAATAATTGATCTAGAAAATATTATACATAAATCTTCACACATAATTACTTTATATATATACAGTTTTAATCGTGTAATTAATAAAAAAAAAATTACAATACAGACACAAATACAACTGATGTGGCACCTCTATTAAAATTTACTTATGGGCAAACTGCGTAGTGGTGGGGACATTTTGACAAGGTCAACAACGTCGTCACGATGAAGTAGTAGTATTATGACAGTTTGGGCGATAGTGATTACGATTACAAATTATATGAAACAGCTGTAAAAAAATAGTGTCATAATACCACTGCTACTTATTTAAATCTATTTCTGAATCAGTATATATGAGTAATTGAATATGTATGTTTAGAACAGTCATCTAAAAACTGACGCTATGTTCACTCTGTTCACCACACACACACACACACACACACACCTCACCACCACAATTGTGTAGAGCGACATTAATGTCACACCTAGGTATACACTGGGTTGGATAATTGACCTAAAGTGACCGGACAGTGGTGAATGAAGTTGAACCCCCTCCCTCCCCCCCCCCCCCCCAACCCACCGCGAACTGATCTGTTAAGTACATTTGGGAAAACGTGTAACGATGTACCAAAGTACCATGCCGCAAGAATCATATAATTTGAATCAGGTAAAACTCTGTGAATATTGTTTTTGCACTTACCAGTAAAAAGGTGTGTGATCAATACAGTGATCTAACCCATACCTGATCACTATGTTAAAAAAATGATCTTTAAAAAACACAAACAGCAGTAGTTAATTAAAAGATCTTTGATCTGAACTAAAAGACCGAAAATTTAGTTAAATGTAAGCTATTATTCTGGGTGTTTTTCTATAAAATTTAAAGCGTGTTTTTATACCAACTCTGATTTAAAAAACTTTCATTATGCTGTAATACTTTAGCATTTATGATAACGATATATTTAATTCTGATTGTAACAAAAAAGAAATTGAAAACACGAATACAGTTAAACAATTATATTACATTCTAAAGTAATTATTGATTTGTTTTGACATTTATAATTAAATATATAGATATATAAATATTTATATTAAGAGCGTGATTATGTCCCCTATTTCGCTTGTCTTAATTAATGTCCAAGGAATTATTATGTAAATTTTTTTTACAAGAATTACAAAACAGATTGTGTTGCGTTTATTGATTTTGGTTGTATATATATATATATATATATATATATATATATATATATATATATATATATATATATATATATATATATATATATATATATTGTTTACAATGATACATTTTTTGTTTTGTCGGCCTACATTGTGTGTTTTTTCTTATTTCTTCAAGTGCTACATACAATTTATTTTACATCATAGCGAAGTAATTACAGCTAGTAATTATATATATATATATATATATATATATATATATATATATATATATATATATATATATATATATATATATATATAATACACGTGTTAGAACGTGTTAAATATTCGGCGCCTTTTTTTTATCATTTCGCTCCCCCTACAACGAAAACCTGGATACGCCTCTGACTGTCCTCCTACCTACCCATTCCCAGCTCCATACCCCACCCCTAACGGATCTAAATGACTGGGGTGGGAGGTACGTGAATGTGGGCCCTACTCATTTTTTGCAGGGGGTAACTGACGAGGGTCTGTGGTTCTTTCATGAATTTTGTCGAGGGGGGGGGGGCACTTGAAACTCTTACACTGGTTAAAATATACATAAATTATCGATAATTTTACTTTATCCTGCCTGAGGTATGGTGGATGTGCTCATCGGGGGGTGGGGGGGGGGGGGAGGTGCATGCTCCCTCGTTCATGTGATGGCCATCACGTGACGGAGCAGGTCGAGCTGCCATCTGGTGTCATCTCGACACGTCACAAGACTGGCCAGTTGAACTCAATTTATTTCGTCCAGTTTGAAAGCGGAAATCGTGATAAAGCGGAAATCGTGATTTCCAAGTTATAAAAATGGCGGCTTCAACACGTGAGCTTATTGTTTTAGTTAGTCGCATTCAGTGCAGAACGTTGTCTGCTCTGAGCAGGGGAGGATAACCCGATATTTAGTGAAGCCAGAGTTACAAATATACTTTGTTAGAGGATAACCCGATTTTTTAGTTAAGCTAGAGTTTTAAAAAAATGTAAAATTTAATGAACATTATAGTATAGGCCTGATATTTAATGATGATGCATTTAAAAAAATTGAAGTCAATGTTTTTTTTAAATTAGACATAGGATAGAAGCCGTCCTTGCATTCTATTCTTTCAAATGTAGTCGACAAAATATTGACTTAAGTATAAAAAGCAGATCAGTACTAGCGATCAGATGGGTATCGTGACCGCCTTCTTACACATGGGAATATCGTGACCGCCTTCTTACAGATGGGAATATCGTGACCGCCTTCTTACAGATGGGTATATCGTGACCGCCTTCTTACACATGGGTATATCGTGACCGCCTTCTTACACATGGGAATATCGTGACCACCTTCTTACAGATGGGAATATCGTGACCACCTTCTTACAGATGGGAATACCGTGACCGCCTTCTTACACATGGGAATATCGTGACTGCCTTCTTACACATGGGAATATCGTGACCGCCTTCTTACAGATGGGAATATCGTGACCGCCTTCTTACAGATGGGTATATCGTGGCCGCCTTCTTACACATGGGAATATCGTGACCGCCTTCTTACAGATGGGTATATCGTGACCGCCTTCTTACAGATGGGAATATCGTGACCGCCTTCTTACACATGGGAATATCGTGACCGCCTTCTTACACATGGGAATATCGTGACCGTCTTCTTACACATGGGAATATCGTGACCACCTTCTTACAGATGGGAATATCGTGACCGTCTTCTTACAGTCCGTGGTCATGTGTATTATCCAACCCTTATATTCAAACGTTATCTCCCTTTGGTTGGCGAATAGGGCAGTCGTTGCAATCATTTCAATGATTAAGTTTAAAATCAGACATTTTTGCGTTGCTTTCGGAGAAGAAAGTATGCAGAAGGAGCCAATAAATTGCTAATTTGGGAGGGGTTCAAAACTGAGTAAGAAGATAAGCCACAAACAGACAGTAGGACAGACATACATTGTAAAGAAGGTACAAAAAAATTTGAGTCCATTTTGTTTTTATTTCATTCAAAGATTTGATCCAACCAGTTTTGTCATGACTGGTTGGATTAAAGATTTGATCCAACCAGTTTTGTCGTGACTGGTTGGATTAAAGATTTGATCCAACCAGTTTTGTCATGACTGGTTGGATTAAAGATTTGATCCAACCAGTTTTGTCATGACTGGTTGGATTAAAGATTTGATCCAACCAGTTTTGTCGTGACTGTTTGATTGAGCACAGATACGGTGTGGCCTTGAAACAAAACAACGGTACTAAGTCCTAACTTTTCTACAAATCCTCCTCATGTCCTCTCGCTGTGAGGTCCTAACTAGCTGAATACAGCTGGACAATAGGACTGGATTATGTCCTACAGCTGATTTTGACATCAGAGTCTAATAGTGTGACATACTCCAACATGACATGACATATTACCAAAATAAACTTGCGCCATTGTATGACAACATACAACATACAACAGCAACCCAACCTGGCTGAGATCACCTACACCAAACCTTGTATTTACAGGACCTTCAAATAAATAACTCATTTCTCCCACAATGCAAAGCTATAAAACAACAGGCAGGTATTGCACAAAACATGGGGGGTGGGGCAGGGATGTGTCACATCAAATTACAAAGACTTAAAACTAGGGTCAGACCCAGAGCAGGTGGGTATGAAGGGTCAGACCAACATCTTACAAAGAAATCTAAAACCAACATATCCTATCTCGGTCAATTTTTTTACATAAAAATCTCAGACCAATATATTCATCATATATTTGACATTTTCTTTTGAAAAAATATCTACACTTTGACCAAATAGTGGCAGAGACTGGGCCCCAATATAGAAATACGGGGCAGACAGTTGGAGCGCATGACATGAAGGACAACTCCATCAGGGCATCTCATAGAATGGCAGATAGCTCCGTCAGGGCATCTCATAAGATGGCAGACAGCTCTGTCAGGGCATCTCACAAGATGGCAGACAGCTCTGTCAGGGCATCTCACGAGATGGCAGACAGTTCCGTCAGGGCATCTCACAAGATGGCAGACAGCTCCGTCAGGGCATCTCACGAGATGGCAGACAGCTCCACGAGATGGCAGGCAGACAGTTCTGTCAGGGCATCTCACAAGATGGCAGACAGCTAAATCGGGGCATCTCACAAGATGGCAGACAGCTCTGTCAGGGCATCTCATGAGATGGCAGACAGCTCCGTCAGGGCATCTCACAAGATGGCAGACAGCTCCGTCAGGGCATCTCACGAGATGGCAGACAGCTCCACGAGAGCCTCTCACGAGATGGCAGGCAGACAGTTCTGTCAGGGCATCTCACAAGATGGCAGACAGCTAAATCGGGGCATCTCACAAGATGGCAGACAGCTCCGTCAGGGCATCTCACAAGATGGCAGACAGCTCCGTCAGGGCATCTCACAAGATGGCAGACAGCTAGATTGGGGCATCTCACGAGATGGCAGACAGCTCCACGAGGGCATCATGCTGCTGTGTGCTCAGATTACTCACAGACTTCCTTACGTCACATATTATACTGCGCACCTGCAACATTAACAGTTGTGTCAAAAAACATTCAATAATTACACACTCACCACCCCTACCCTAACACCAACCACCAACAACTGGCACCAACCACTGACACCAACCACTACAACCAACCAACCACCACCAACCACCACTACCAACCACCACTACAGCCAGTGCACCTACCACCACAACCAACCACTGACACCAACCACCACCACCAAGCGACACCAACCAGTGACACCAACCACCACCACCAACCAGTGACATCAACCACCACCACCAACCAGTGACACCACCAAGCACCACCAACCACCACCACCAACAAGCGACACCAACCACCACCACCATCAAGCGACACCAACCACAGACACCAACAACCCCCACCAACCACTGACACCAACCACCACCACCAACCACAGACACCAACCACCACCACCAACCACAGACACCAACCACCACCACCAACCATAGACATCAACCACCATCACCACCAACCACTGACACCAACGACCACCACCACCAACCACCCCCACCAACCAGTGACACCAACCACCCCACCAACCACTGACACCAACCACCACCACCACCAACAAGCGACACCAACCACCACCACCAACCACAGAAACCAACCACCACCACCAACCACCACCACCACCAACCACTGACACCAAACACCCCCACCAACCACTGACACCAACCACCACCACCAACCACAGACATCAACCACCACCACCACCAACCACCACCACCAACCACCACCACCACCAACAAGCGACACCAACCACCAGCACCAACAAGCGACACCAACCAGTTACACCAACCACCGCCACCAACCACCACCACCACCAACCACCCCCACCAACCACCCCCACCAACGACCACCAGCAAGCAGTCTACCTGGTGTGTGAAGAAAGCCGTTTCCCTGGGTTTCTCACTGTACCTCTCAAACTGGTCCAGGCTGTCCTGTAGCTTCAAGGTCAGCGTGTCATAGTTACCTCGTACAACCTCCAGCACCTGCACAAAGACACAGTCAAGTTACTTTGTACAGACACACGCACACAGACACACAGACACGTTACTTTGTACAGACACAGACACAAACACAGACACATTACTTTGTACAGACACAAACACACAGACACATTCACACAGACACACAGCCAAGTTACAATCTACTGTGTCCAGATAAAATGTGTCGGCTACCACTCGCCCAGATACTAGCTGTCACAACGTGTCAAGTGACATCACAGATTATCCTATCTCGTGTGTCATAGTTACCCTACTTGTCACTGTCACAACGTGACAAGTGACATCACAGATCATCCTATCTCGTGTGTCATAGTTACCCTACTTGACACTGTCACAAAGTTCCACCCTAACCTGGGAGTCTCTGGGTGACGCCATCTCAGACATTCCCACAGACCCAAACTCCACATGGAATGTACACATGCGAACGGCTTGCTCTAAGAAGTCGATTGATTTTAGAGAGTAGTTGCCCTTGCTGCCAGAGTTCCATAAGGGTTTAATCAAGTGCCATTCAATAATGGCAGGAGCCGATATCCACTGGATCAATACACAACCTTTCTAACTTTAGGGCAAGGCAGCTAACGGTAGTTTTCAAACTCAACCTTCAACCAGCACACCAAGGTGCGCAAGACGTCTTCGGCTCTCCATGCCTTATGTTAGTTACATTAGCCTCGCATAGTCCCACGTCGTCGTCCCCCGTCGCCCCCCCCCCCCCCCCCAGCCCAGTAGTAGGATACATTCGTGTCTTATCTTTTAAAACTCACTAGTTATAGGATACATTCATGTCTCATGATTTTACCCCCACCCCCCACCCCCCGCCCAGTTGTAGGATACATTCATGCCTCATGATTTGTCTTTTTTTTTAAATTCCACCAAGATAATACGTGTACTAGGTCCTAATGTGGGCCGGTAAATCCCACAAAGCTACGTGTTTTTGCTCCTAACAATTCAATTAGCTGCCCGCTACAGGCGCCAAAAGAATGGCCCACTAGTGTCTAGGACTACTAAAGAGATTTCTGACTGAAGGCACATGCAAATAAACTCATTATTATTCAATGCTTCTACACGTATCTACAAGACAAATCTACACGCATCTATAGGACAAATCTACACGCATCTATAGGACAAATCTACACGCATCTATAGGACAAATCTACACGCATCTATAGGACAAATCTACACGCATCTATAGGACAAATCTACACGCATCTATAGGACAAATCTACACGCATCTATAGGACAAATCTACACGCATTTATAGGACAAATCTACACACATCTATAGGACAAATCTACACGCATCTATAGGACAAATCTACACGCATCTATAGGACAAATCTACACGCATCTATAGAACAAATCTACACGCATCTATAGGACAAATCTACACGCATCTATAGGACAAATCTACACGCATCTATAGGACAAATCTACACGCATCTATAGAACAAATCTACACGCATCTATAGGACAAATCTACACGCATCTATAGGACAAATCTACACGCATCTACAGGACAAATCTACAAGCATCTATAGGAAAAATCTACACGCATCTATAGGACAAATCTACACGCATCTATAGGACAAATCTACACGCATCTATAGGACAAATCTACACGCATCTATAGGACAAATCTACACGCATCTATAGGACAAATCTACACGCATCTATAGGACAAAACTACACGCATCTATAGGACAAATCTACACGCATCTATAGGACAAATCTACACGCATCTATAGACGAATATTGTGCACGCACCTACTGAGCTCCTGAGACACCTAAGGACAACAAGTAAAACATGTATGCAGCAAACCTTTATTTAGTCTGCTTTAACACACTAGACCTTAGAAAATCTGAAACAGTGTGCTTCCCCCATCCATTGATACGCCGATCCCCTTCAAGACTACTAACGTTTTTCTGCCACAGTCGCTTGATTACTAAACAAAAAATTCTACCCCCCCCCCCCCTCCCCCCACCGGATTGGTATCAGCTAATACTACACGCCAGTGACAGTTTGATCCAATAAGTAAAGTCTCTTCCCCCCCCCCTCCTACCTAAACCCCACCGAGAGGACCCAACCAAGTGAATTTATGTCTTTTTTAAAACAGAAGCCCATTGTTAGGTCATTCATCCACACATAGGGACCTTCATAGCTAGCCACTGGCAGGGAGATTTTACACACTTCCCACTAACCTGCAGCCAATGTGTGACCACTAGCCTGCAGCCAATGTGTGACCACTAGCCTGCAGCCAATGTGTGACCACTAGCCAATGTGTGACCACTAGCCAATGTGTGACCACTAGCCTGCAGCCAATGTGTGACCACTAGCCAATGTGTGACCACTAGCCTGTAGCCAATGTGTGACCACTAGCCTGCAGCCAATGTGTGACCACTAGCCAATGTGTGACCACTAGCCAATGTGTGACCACTAGCCTGCAGCCAATGTGTGACCACTAGCCAATGTGTGACCACTAGCCAATGTGTGACCACTAGCCAATGTGTGACCACTAGCCAACGTGTGGCCACTAGCCTGCAGCCAATGTGTGACCACTAGCCAATGTGTGACCACTAGCCAATGTGTGACCACTAACCTGCAGCCAATGTGTGACCACTAGCCAATGTGTGACCACTAGCCAATGTGTGACCACTAACCTGCAGCCAATGTGTGACCACTAGCCAATGTGTGACCACTAGCCTGCAGCCAATGTGTGACCACTAGCCTGCAGCCAATGTGTGACCACTAGCCAATGTGTGACCACTAGCCTGCAGCCAATGTGTGACCACTAGCCTGCAGCCAATGTGTGACCACTAGCCTGCAGCCAATGTGTGACCACTAGCCAATGTGTGACCACTAGCCTGCAGCCAATGTGTGACCACTAGCCAATGTGTGACCACTAGCCAATGTGTGACCACTAGCCAATGTGTGACCACTAGCCTGCAGCCAATGTGTGACCACTAGCCAATGTGTGACCACTAGCCAATGTTTGACCACTAGCCTGCAGCCAATGTGTGACCACTAGCCTGCAGCCAATGTGTGACCACTAGCCTGCAGCCAATGTGTGACCACTAGTCAATGTGTGACCACTAGCCTGCAGCCAATGAGTGACCACTAGCCAATGTGTGACCACTAGCCAATGTTTGACCACTAGCCTGCAGCCAATGTGTGACCACTAGCCTGCAGCCAATGTGTGACCACTAGCCTGCAGCCAATGTGTGACCACTAGCCAATGTGTGACCACTAGCCTGCAGCCAATGAGTGACCACTAGCCTGCAGCCAATGTGTGACCACTAGCCAATGTGTGACCACTAGCCTGCAGCCAATGTGTGACCACTAGCCAATGTGTGACCACTAGCCTGCAGCCAATGTGTGACCACTAGCCAATGTGTGACCACTAGCCTGCAGCCAATGTGTGACCACTAGCCAATGTGTGACCACTAGCCAATGTGTGACCACTAGCCTGCAGCCAATGAGTGACCACTAGCCTGCAGCCAATGTGTGACCACTAGCCAATGTGTGACCACTAGCCTGCAGCCAATGTGTGACCACTAGCCAATGTGTGACCACTAGCCTGCAGCCAATGTGTGACCACTAGCCAATGTGTGACCACTAGCCTGCAGCCAATGTGTGACCACTAGCCTGCAGCCAATGTGTGACCACTAGCCAATGTGTGACCACTAGCCTGCAGCCAATGTGTGACCACTAGCCTGCAGCCAATGTGTGACCACTAGCCAATGTGTGACCACTAGCCAATGTGTGACCACTAGCCTGCAGCCAATGTGTGACCACTAGCCTGCAGCCAATGTGTGACCACTAGCCAATGTGTGACCACTAGCCTGCAGCCAATGTGTGACCACTAGCCAATGTGTGACCACTAGCCAATGTGTGACCACTAGCCTGCAGCCAATGTGTGACCACTAGCCTGCAGCCAATGTGTGACCACTAGCCTGCAGCCAATGTGTGACCACTAGTCAATGTGTGACCACTAGCCTGCAGCCAATGTGTGACCACTAGCCTGCAGCCAATGTGTGACCACTAGCCAATGTGTGACCACTAGCCTGCAGCCAATGAGTGACCACTAGCCTGCAGCCAATGTGTGACCACTAGCCTGCAGCCAATGTGTGACCACTAGCCAATGTGTGACCACTAGCCAATGTGTGACCACTAGCCTGCAGCCAATGTGTGACCACTAGCCAATGTGTGACCACTAGCCTGCAGCCAATGTGTGACCACTAGCCTGCAGCCAATGTGTGACCACTAGCCAATGTGTGACCACTAACCTGCAGCCAATGTGTGACCACTAGCCAATGTGTGACCACTAACCTGCAGCCAATGTGTGACCACTAGCCTGCAGCCAATGTGTGACCACTAGCCTGCAAGCAAATGTGTGACCACTAGCCTGCAGCCAATGTGTGGCCACTAGCCTGCAGCCAATGTGTGACCACTAGCCTGCAGCCAATGTGTGACCACTACCCTGCAGCCAATGTGTGACCACTAGCCAATGTGTGACCACTAGCCAATGTGTGACCACTAGCCTGCAGCCAATGTGTGACCACTAGCCAATGTGTGACCACTAGCCTGCAGCCAATGTGTGACCACTAGCCTGCAGCCAATGTGTGACCACTAGCCAATGTGTGACCACTAGCCTGCAGCCAATGTGTGACCACTAGCCTGCAGCCAATGTATGACCACTAGCCTGCAGCCAATGTGTGACCACTAGCCTACAGCCAATGTGTGACCACTAACCTGCAGCCAATGTGTGACCACTAGCCTACAGCCAATGTGTGACCACTAGCCTGCAGCCAATGTGTGACCACTAACCTGCAGCCAATGTGTGACCACTAGCCTGCAGCCAATGTGTGACCACTAACCTGCAGCCAATGTGTGACCACTAACCTGCAGCCAATGTGTGACCACTAGCCTGCAGCCAATGTGTGACCACTAGCCAATGTGTGACCACTAGCCTGCAGCCAATGTGTGACCACTAGCCAATGTGTGACCACTAGCCAATGTGTGACCACTAGCCAATGTGTGGCCACTAGCCAATGTGTGACCACTAGCCAATGTGTGACCACTAGCCTGCAGCCAATGTGTGACCACTAGCCTGCAGCCAATGTAAAGTTCTACGGCTAGTACTTGTTTGACCATTGACCTGTCTGGAGTTGGTTATATCCATAGATCAGTGTCGTCCCCACCCCCATGAGACACTACAGTATAACACCTTGCTCATGTGGTCCATGGCCTCAAGAGACTGGTTAGACAAGTTTCTATGTCAGCACACTTACACATACATACACACACAAGTCAGGAAATTTTTTAAACACACACACTGACACACATCAATGTGGACTGTTGGTTGTATATAGTGGACACTGGTTTGTATATAGTGGACACTGGCTTGTATAAGTTTGACATTTGCTTGTACATAGAGGACAGAGCCCAAATAAATGACTCCCACCCCGTGTAGAACCTCCCACCCCGTGTAGAACCTCCCACCCCATGTTAGAACCTCTCACCCCATGTAGAACCTCCCATTCTATGTAGAACCTCCTACCCCATGTAGAACCTCCCATTCTATGTAGAACCTCCCACCCCATGTGACTTTAAAACCTCCCACCCCATATAGAACCTCCCACCCCATGTAGAACCCCCCACCCTAGACCCCACAGGATCCCCCCTATACTACAGGTGAGGTGATGTAAGTGACTGACCTGCTCCTCTGTCAGTGAGGACAAATGGTTGGCAGCTGCCCAGGCATCCACTTTAGGTGAGAAGTGGTTGATGATGGCCCTGTGACAAAAACATCATCAAGTCAAGACAACTCTACCTGTGACAACCACATCATCAGTCAAGACAACTTTACCTGTGACAACCACATCAGTCAAGACAACTCTACCTGTGACAACCACATCATCAGTCAAGACAACTTTACCTGTGACAACCACATCAGTCAAGACAACTCTACCTGTGAAACCATATCAGTCAAGACAACTCTACCTGTGAAACCATATCAGTCAAGACAACTCTACCTGTGAAACCATATCAGTCAAGACAACTCTACCTGTGACAACCACATAAGTCAAGAAAACTCTACCTGTGACAACCACATCAGTCAAGACAACTCTACCTCTGACAACCACATCAAGTCAAGACAACTCTACATGTGACAACCACATCATCAGTCAAGACAACTTTACCTGTGACAACCACATCAGTCAAGAAAACTCTACCTGTGACAACCACATCAGTCAAGACAACTCTACCTGTGACAACCACATCAGTCAAGAAAACTCTACCTGTGACAACCACATCAGTCAAGACAACTCTACCTCTGACAACCACATCAAGTCAAGACAACTCTACATGTGACAACCACATCATCAGTCAAGACAACTTTACCTGTGACAACCACATCAGTCAAGACAACTCTACCTGTGACAACCACATCAGTCAAGAAAACTCTACCTGTGACAACCACATCAGTCAAGACAACTCTACCTCTGACAACCACATCAAGTCAAGACAACTCTACATTTGACAACCACATCATCAGTCAAGACAACTTTACCTGTGACAACCACATCAGTCAAGAAAACTCTACCTGTGACAACCACATCAGTCAAGACAACTCTACCTCTGACAACCACATCAAGTCAAGACAACTCTACATGTGACAACCACATCAGTCAAGACAACTCTACCTGTGACAACCACATCAGTCAAGACAACTCTACCTGTGACAACCACAGCAAGTCAAGACAACTCTACCTGTGACAACCACATCAGTAAAGACAATTCTACCTGTGACAACCACAGCAAGTCAAGACAACTCTACCTGTGACAACCACATCATCAGTCAAGACAACTCTACCTGTGACAACCACAGCAAGTAAAGACAACTCTACATGTGACAACCACATCATCAGTCAAGACAACTCTACCTGTGACAACCACATCATCAGTCAAGACAATTCTACCTGTGACAACCACATCAGTAAAGACAATTCTACCTGTGACAACCACATCATCAGTCAAGACAATTCTACCTGTGACAGCCAAATCATCAGTCAAGACAACTCTACCTGTGACAACCACAACAGGTTAAGACAACTTTACCTGTGACAACCACATCAGTCAAGACAACTCTACCTGTGACAACCACATCAGTCAAGACAACTCTACCTGTGACAAGCACATCAGTCAAGACAACTCTACCTGTGACAACCACATCAGTCAAGACAACCCTACCTGTAACAACCACATCATCAGTCGAGACAACTCTACCTGTGACAACCACATCAAGTCAAGACAACTCTACCTGTGACAACCACATCAGTCAAGACAACTCTACCTGTAACAACCACATCAAGTACACAACCAAAACCAGTTTATTGAAAATTCCTTAAAGCCCAGCTCTATTTACCTGATATTGACGAGGTGGCTGGTCAACTTGGTGGCTGAGTCCTTGTGATCACTCTCAGCAGCCGCATAGCGCAGCGCTGAAACATCATTAAAACCATCAGGTTAACATATCATGGAATAAACATTGTCAAAGATCTTGTGCACCCACCCATGGAATAAACATTGTCAAAGATCTGGTGCACCCACCCATTGAATAAACATTGTCAAAGATCTTGTGCACCCACCCATAGAATAAACATTGTCAAAGATCTGGTGCACCCACCCATGGAATAAACATTGTCAAAGATCTGGTGCACCCACCCATGGAATAAACATTGTCAAAGATCTGGTGCACCCAGTGATAGCATAAACATTGTCAAAGATCTTGTGCACCCACCCATGGAATAAACATTGTCAAAGATCTTGCGCACCCACCCATAGAATAAACATTGTCAAAGATCTGGTGCATCCTGATGATCTCATAGTACAGCTCGTCATAGCTTGTAGGGTTGGGCAGGAAGGTGTCACCATAGGTGACAAACAGGTTGAAGATGTTCACAACCTGAAACATCAGCAACAGTAGACATTCACAACAAAGTTTTCATTAGCTGCAGTCAAACACAGGTATACCATCTCCATTCTATCATGTTAGCTGCAGTCAAACACAGGTATACCATCTCCATTCTATCATGTTAGCTGCAGTCAAACACAGGTATACCATCTCCATTCTATCATGTTTGCTGCAGTCAAACACAGGTATACCATCTCCATTTTATCATGTTTGCTGAGTCAAACACAGGTATACCATCTCCATTCTATCATGTTTGCTGCAGTCAAACACAGGTATACCATCTCCATTCTATCATGTTAGCTGCAGTCAAACACAGGTATACCATCTCCATTCTACCTTGTTTGATACAGTTAAACACAGGTATACCATCTCCATTCTACCTTAACAAGTCTTACCTTAGAGGCCAAGTGAAAAATGTTCTGTTTTTTCACTAGCTGGGATTCATTAGCCAGAAGAAATTTTAACAAATTGATCAAAGCTGAGGACAGAAACATGCAGAAAAATTGACCAAACCTGAGATAGAAAATATTTATGGGATAAATTTGTTTTTTTACAAATTGATCAAAGCAATCAACATTTTTATTGTTCCTTATCAAGATGTTTTCTTGGTATGTTATCCTGTGATTATCTATTTAATATTGTCTGCAGTGCCAAAAATAAAGGGTTGGTGTAACTAGCAATAAAAAGGGTTGGTGTAACTAGCAATAAAAAGGGTTGGTATAACCAGCTATGTAAAGGGTTGGTATAACCAGCTATAGAAAAGCAAGTGAACTCCATGCACTAATGGCATTACCTGTCCAGAGGTGCTTCCAGGGATATTGTATGCGCACTCTGAGCTTCTTCTGGTAACACAGGACTCGATGGATGATGCCCAAGCAGCGACTGAAATAGATGTAACATGTAGGTAGGGTTAGGTTACAGCAGCCACTGAAATAGATGTAACATGTAGGTAGGGTTAGGTTACAGCAGCCACTGAAATAGATGTAACATGTAGGTAGGGTTAGGTTACAGCAGCCACTGAAATAGATGTAACATGTAGGTAGGGTTAGGTTACAGCAGCCACTGAAATATATGTAACATGTAGGTAGGGTTAGGTTACAGCAGCCACTGAAATAGATGTAACATGTAGGTAGGGTTAGGTTACAGCAGCCACTGAAATAGATGTAACATGTAGGTAGGGTTAGGTTACAGCAGCCACTGAAATAGATGTAACATGTAGGTAGGGTTAGGTTACAGCAGTTAGTCACAAGATGCAGTTACAAAGCAGTCATGTGTCTTTATGTGTCAGGTATAAAAGATCTTGGTGCATCAAGCAAGATCTATGCATCAGGTATGGGATAACTGTGGGTCAGATAGTCAAGATCTTTGTGCCAAGTATTAAAGATCATTAGTGCCAAGCATTGAAGATCTAGAAAATTAGAAAATGCTTTTTATCCTTACAAGCCGACTTGCTGCGTATCATACGCCGCTATTTAGTTTTTTTATTATCTACTTTTCAGTAATTCATAATTTGTGAATTTGACAGTACCAATGCTGCCACTGAATATATTTGCTTTAAAACACTATCAGTAGCTCGTTAAGGACGATACCCCCCCCCCCCTTTCCCCAACCCCACCCCCGTGAAAGCAGCCTCTTAGTTATCTCCCCTAAGTTTAAAATCGTTTCAAACAAAATTATCTGCCCCTAATAGCCATCACTAAACCCGGCTCTACGATTGTAAACTTTTAACATGAACCACAGCTCACCAGACCATGTAGGGGTGGGGGTGGTAGGGAGCGCTGCGCTTACAGCTTGGTGTTTTCTATGGTCTCCAAGAAGAGAATTATATATATAGAAGGTCTGTCTGACAATAGGCCCCAAGTGTGGAACACTTACAGATACAGCTCCATTGGGAAGGTTTTCATTAGGTGGCTCAGGATAAACTCAACCATTAGATCTGGAGATGGAAACAAAAACGTGTCACTGTGACTACAAAAATAAAAGAAGCTACCAGACTCCAGATCCTAATTAAAGCCTGGAGGTCTGGCATAGATCTAGTTATATTTCTCAGTGAAAGGTTTCTCTAACAATAAGACCATGGCATGTGACTGGTGTAAAATATCATGTGGTCAGAGAGCAAACCTGAGTGCCTGATGAAAGTCAACACTAATCTATCCTCAATGTTGGAGGGTACGACCAATCTTTGATTGTCTGACTAACATGCTGATTTGTAAGACTGTAAGTGACTAACATGCTGATTTGTAAGACTGTAAGTGACTTACATGCTGATTTGTAAGACTATAAGTGACTAACCTAAGAGAGAAGAAACCAATGGCCTGGATGGGGGGTGCAGCTCTGTTGTCACTTTTCTGTGTCTCATGGGCTGAAACAAGGGTCAACCATTTCAATACATGGGTCAACCATTTCAATACAAGGGTCAAACATTTCAATACAATGGTCAAACATTTCAATACAAGGGTCAAACATTTCAATACAAGGGTCAAACATTTCAATACAAGGGTCAAACATTTCAATACAAGGGTCAAACATTTCAATACAAGGTGTAGATACAACATCCATGTACAGTAAGGCTCTACTCAATGAACCAGCTCAACAAACTAGGCTCTCTCTAAACTGTGATGGGGGGCAAGTGGTAGCACGAGTGAGAAAAAAATATAAACTTAGAAGAGGCAGATGAAAGACTTACCATTTTATGTAGAGGTACCCGAAATGTCATGTTGGCATCATGCATGATAGAGTTGGCATACTGGTCCTGTTTGATCAGATACAGATAGTAATGCATTCATCTGATACAGCAGACATCACCAACAACAACAGACATCACCAACCTCATCAGACATCACCAGCCACATCAGACATCACCAGATAGACATCACCAACCACAACAGACATCACCAGCCACATCAGACATCACCAGATAGACATCACCAACCACAACAGACATCACCAGCCACATCAGACATCACCAGCCACATCAGACATCACCAGATAGACATCACCAACCACAACAGACATCACCAGCCACATCAGACATCACCAGCCACATCAGACATCACCAGATAGACATCACCAACCACAACAGACATCACATCACCAGCCACAACAGACATCACATCACCAGCCACAACAACATCACCAGCCACAGCAGACATCACATCACCAGCCACAACAGACATCACCAGCCACAACAGACATCACATCACCAGCCACAACAGACATCACATCACCAGCCACAACAGACATCACATCACCAGCCACAACAGACATCACATCACCAGCCACAACAGACATCACATCACCAGCCACAACAGACATCACATCACCAGCCACAACAGACATCACATCACCAGCCACAGCAGACATCACCAGCCACAGCAGACATCACATCACCAGCCACAACAGACATCACATCACCAGCCACAACAGACATCACATCACCAGCCACAGCAGACATCACCAGCCACAGCAGACATCACATCACCAGCCACAACAGACATCACATCACCAGCCACAACAGACATCACATCACCAGCCACAACAGACATCACATCACCAGCCACAACAGACATCACATCACCAGCCACAACAGACATCACATCACCAGCCACAACAGACATCACATCACCAGCCACAACAGACATCACCAGCCACAACAGACATCACATCACCAGCCACAACAGACATCACATCACCAGCCACAACAGACATCACCAGCCACAACAGACATCACATCACCAGCCACAACAGACATCACCAACCACAACAGACATCACATCACCAGCCACAACAGACATCACCAGCCACATCAGACATCACCAGCCACAGCAGACATCAGGAAACCATTAAAGGACCAACTGGCGTACAAAACAAAGTGCATTCAGTTAGAGGAGAGAAATCCTGAGCAGGACTGACCTCAGCAATACAAGTGAGTATAATTAAGCAGAGTTTAGCATTGTTGTATCGAGTTGGATCTGTGGATACAATGGTATATAGATATAGTACATACAACAATACCCTAGGAAAAAGCTAGGTGCTGAATGAGAGAAAGAAACATCTACCTTTTGTGTCCTGTGTAACTATAGAGCTGTACTGCAAGAATGTCACCAGGAGGTTTGTTGGCTGGGTGACATTTGCAGTGGCGGGAGGGGATGGGCTGGCTGGTCTTTCTTGGGTAGGGGAACCTGAGGCTAGACACAAACAAACAAAAGATCAGGTAATATCTAAGTTAGTTTAAGACGTCACCTCCAACTTCAGAAGCTGACATAACTAACAAAGTTGTAAAAGTTATTCAATTGAAAAAAAATCAAGCAAAATTGTGTTGTCCTTTTTTTAGCGCAATTTCCATTCTGGAGAATTGCGTTTATTAACTCGTCATTTCTGGGAATGGATGGATAAATGAATGAATGTATGGATGAATGTGTGTCCGGGCTTTAAGTCGTATCTCCTCCTCAACGAAGCAATATCGATGACTAGTTCCAAAAGCAATTATGTTAAGCAAGTTACGAGAATGAACATAGGCCATAAAAATTCCGGGTTTCTTTCATGGATTTCCCGGAAAAGCCAAAAAACCTCAAAAAAAAGCAGTTTTTGGCCCATATCTCGGCAACCAGACCACTTAGCGACTTGAAACATGTACCAATCGATTCCTGCCATAATTTAGAACAATATTGCCGAAGAAAGTTTTCAAAAATATCCTTTCGTTCGGTCACAAAAAATTTTTTGAATTAATTAAAATTTGGACCGAATTAGTAGGCATTTTATGCAACCACACCACACGCGTCATCACGTTCAATAGCTGCGCCATCACGTTCAATGGCTGCGACGTCACGTTCGGTAGCTGGGCGCGCAATAGTTTTTAGTCATGTTACTCTATTGTAAATAAAACATGTAAAATACTGAAAAAAATTAATAAAAAACGTTTTAATAACTAACCAATGGTTTTACTAACCCTGCTCTTGATTTACGCTACGACAGAGCTATTTTTAGATAACACAAGGAAATTGCGCTAAAATTGTCACTAGACTTTTTTTAATTACTTGTTTTGTTACCTGTGCCCTGGCACATCTGTAAGTCAAGAAGTTTACAGTACATAAATCTCTCATTGCACTAAGATGTATAGACTAGAGTTGATGAGAAAAACATACCATCAGAGAAGGCAGGAGGGGAGGCAGGAATGACTGGTGACAATGGTGGAGTTGTTGCTGGTGTTGGTGTGTGAGACTGAAAGAAAACATTTATCTTCTACACAAGAGCATTCAATACTTAAATGTGTACAACCTTAACACAGGTGTGTTGTACTGGTGTAAGGTGGACACAGCATAGTGTGTTGTAAACTTAGATATTTACATATAGTAAAACAGCATATTTTTTTTACTTAACATTTAAGCCTAAAGTTAATCAGTGAGAGCATAGAACTCTTCAATCCCTCACACCCATAACAAAATCTTAAAATCACCACAATTTAATTTTAGGATGCAGCTTTTTTAAAAATGTAGCTCAATGATAAGCCAAATTTGTACCTACATGTGTCAAAGCTGTGATAAAATTCCTATTTAAGTGAACAGCTTCATACAAAGCCAGAAGTAAAGAATCGTTTGCTCTGAAACAAATGACATGGATTAGCTTTTTTTTATGAAAACATTTTGTGTTTACATCATTTCATTAAGAAAGTTATTAAAGAAAAGAAAACAGCCTCTGATGAATTAAAAACCACAATTTGACAGCAAGAAACAATTACCTGATCAGCTCCATCTTCTTTTCTTCACCAACAAACATACTCCCCACCTGAAACATTGGTTCAAGTAAACATTATTTTCTTCACCAACAAACATACTCCCCACCTGAAATATTGGTTCAAGTAAACATTATTTTCTTCACCAACAAACATACTCCCCACCTGAAACATTGGTTCAAGTAAACATTATTTTCTTCACCAACAAACATACTCCCCACCTGAAACATTGGTTCAAGTAAACATTATTTTCTTCACCAACAAACATACTCCCCACCTGAAACATTGGTTCAAGTAAACATTATTTTCTTCACCAACAAACATACTCCCCACCTGAAACATTGGTTCAAGTAAACATTATTTTCTTCACCAACAAACATACTCCCCACCTGAAACATTGGTTCAAGTAAACATTATTTTCTTCACCAACAAACATACTCCCCACCTGAAATATTGGTTCAAGTAAACATTATTTTCTTCACCAACAAACATACTCCCCACCTGAAACATTGGTTCAAGTAAACATTATTTTCTTCACCAACAAACATACTCCCCACCTGAAACATTGGTTCAAGTAAACATTATTTTCTTCACCAACAAACATACTCCCCACCTGAAACATTGGTTCAAGTAAACATTATTTTCTTCACCAACAAACATACTCCCCACCTGAAACATTGGTTCAAGTAAACATTATTTTCTTCACCAACAAACATACTCCCCACCTGAAACATTGGTTCAAGTAAACATTATTTTCTTCACCAACAAACATACTCCCCACCTGAAATATTGGTTCAAGTAAACATTATTTTCTTCACCAACAAACATACTCCCCACCTGAAACATTGGTTCAAGTTAACATTATTTTCTTCACCAACAAACATACTCCCCACCTGAAACATTGGTTCAAGTAAACATTATTTTCTTCACCAACAAAATACTCCCCACCTGAAATATTGGTTCAAGTAAACATTATTTTCTTCACCAACAAACATACTCCCCACCTGAAACATTGATTCAAGTAAACATTATTTTCTTCACCAACAAACATACTCCCCACCTGAAACATTGGTTCAAGTAAACATTATTTTCTTCACCAACAAACATACTCCCCACCTGAAATATTGGTTCAAGTAAACATTATTTTCTTCACCAACAAACATACTCCCCACCTAAAACTTTGGTTCAAGTAAACCTAAAGTATTAACAGCTGCCAACAGGAAAACAATTCCCTAATTAAGTCAACCTATCACTAATGCTGCAGGGTAAAGTCAATAGGACTAGCAGCTGACCATCGACTAATTAATTGCAGGCATTGATAAAATGTACTTAGACCTCCGGCTAAATAATTGCAATCAATGACAAAATCTACTCACCATGCTGGCTATAGCTGAGAACCATCCAGTTGACGGCTCGTCACTTTGATTTGCGTACTCTCTACAGATATTCAAATAAATTTTGTACATGACTATACACATTATTTTTATAAATTTGATGTTAAATTTACATAGATATTCAACTAGACACATCTACAACATGTACACATCTACAAGAAATAACCAACAACTAGATAGAGATGTACAACAGATAACTGACCTGTTAAACTCAGACAATAAATGAGACACAATCTGAGCATAGCCCTGTGAATAGAAGTCAATATTTGGGGCTTAGAATTAGTATATTTTAAATGTAAGGTTTATACATTCTTCAAATCTATGGAACACCATCTACATCATAGAAATGATTTGTAGTACTTAATCTTAAACCAAAATTCCAAGTTAAAAAACTTTATTTATCATACCGTAAGTGCTAGCTCATCATCTAAGATGGACAACTTGACAACATATGGATTAGCTGACTGAAAATAAAGGAGCTTAATTAGAAACAGATGATTTTTACATATTGGAAACATTATACAAGCAATAGGACATTTTCATGAAAAACCAAACAGCTTATAAAAAAAACTGAAACATTACCTCATACTTCCTATACTGCACAAGTAACGTCAACAACAACACAGCATCTTGTCCCAGGAGAGGTCTCTGATTACGATTACCCAGTATCTGAATCATTAATTTTACATTGAAATATACTGTCCCACACCAAGTAAATGTTGATACAGAAATAAAGGATCACACACTACATAAATATTGATACAACTGACCTGTACCAAAGATTCAAAAACACTGTTGATTAGGACATACTCAAGCATGGTGTTTTGGCTGATATTGTCTGTAGCCTGTAAATACATCACAGAAATGCATTTGTCAGCAGCTGGAAAATATCTTATGGAAAAAGTGTATGTCCTAACATTAAAAGCCTTCAGCCAAGCAATGATGAGTGAAATCAAAAACCTTTATTTGTACAACTTTGACTACAACTTACAGTAACCAAAACCAGCATGAATTTCAATGCCAGCTGTTTGAGACAAGTGGGGCATTCCTCTGTCAGGAAAGAATTGATGCTCTCAATCAAACACTGAAAAGATATACACACATTAACTTATGAATGAATGACAGTATCAGATGTATCCTGAGAGTCAATAACACCATTGGACCTACTTGCAGAATGGATTCAGCAGAATCAAAGCCAACAAGAAGATTGATCACATCAAAGCCGTAGTTGCCGTGGTTTTTTTTAAACATTCCCCTCACTAGTGCACATAGAGTCTGAAAGAAATGCTTCTTGTTAAACTGTTACATATATATTGTATAAAGTATTTTCATCCAATAGTAAGAAAAGCTGTGAATAATTAATGACATTAAAAAACGATATTTTAATTCAGGCCACATGAGTTACAACTGCATCAAATTTCCAATGAAAGATACAGCTCAAGCTGTAATTGGTTTTGTATTGTTTGATTGGTTTTGCTTTTCATTATATTGAAAGCAAATGACTTATTGGAAACTTGAAGTTTTCTAAGAATAATATGAGTGTCTAGGATAAGGTGCAGTATCTATATACTTAACTAAATCAGATAATCTTTAATCAGGTAAATAACAGAAATTAGAACATGAATCAAAATTAAACATACACTCTTATTTAAGTATAGCAATGTTCTTACTCACATGGAGAGCATTAATTTTTCTAATATTATTATCTCCTTTTAGTGCTTCAGTAGCCCGATAAAATAACAAGTTCAAATTTTCCTGTACAAAACAATGTGCAAAAATTAAAAAGTTGATACATGAATTACATATACAATAAATTTTTTAGGTATTATGTAACAATTAATTTATGTACAAACCTTAATTTCTAATAAACTCTCTCCATTTAATTTGTCGATTTCACTTTCGATGAACTGAGCATTCACCTTAAAGAAATTAATTATATGTAATTGGCTTTTGTAGGTTAACAACATTGGGAGATTTTAAAATTTGTTAAAATTAAAAGAAATTTGATGTTGAAAAATCATTAACTTTTAACATGTTACAAGAAATGGAATTACGCACAAGAAATAATAAATATATATGTATCCTTTTAAGATTATTTAACTTCACACTCTAGCACAATGGGCTTCAACTACCAAATTAATGGAGTGTTTGAAATAACTTACTTTTAACAGAAATAATTCATCCCAAAAATTAGGATTTGTTGTTGAAGGATCTTCACCCTGAGTTTTAAAAAAAAAACTTGGCTATATTATTCACATAAACAGATATAATATGATGTATTAATACATGAAACGTGGAGAAACATACAGTTTTTCTGAGGCGCCCAAAAAATCAATTTCTAACAAAATTAGAAAACCTATATGACAAACATTTTTCTATTTACTTTGTGTCGTTTGTAGTAAAAATAAAAATGAAGTTCCAATTCTAAACACGTTATGACAATACACAAGTTATCATGTGAAGAGATATTTAAATCATCATTAAAGAACAAAATTTACTGATATAGCTTATTTCAGGTGCAAATACAAGAAAACATAACCCTCTTAACTACTAAAGAAATTAGTTTATTCAATGATAGCAGAAACTTACATGGAAGAATGTTTCATAAATCTGAACAACTTTTTCTTTAAAAACCATCTTTTGGTTACTGCTTCTTCTCATCAAGATTGAGTGAGGCCTGTCCTTCCCTGCTATATTAACATTACTTTCTTGGCTCATATTTAGCTGTCAACTAAAAATGATAAAGAATATTATATGATTTCATCTGTTCAATTGTTTTTCATAACATCTTCTAGTTTTAAAAGTATTAATAGGATAATATCTTTTTAAAAACCCGGCATAACATACACTGTAGAAAGAAATTGATCAAGGCTAGTTTTATAAAATGCATACAATGGCAGAAAGCATTATTAAAAACAGAAAATGTCCTAAAGATATAATGAATGAACCAAAACAAAATAAATCACATTTTAGATATTTTAAAAATGTATTAGGCCTAATGTTTTAATGATGTTCATATTCACGCTTTATTAACTTTTTATTCACCAAGGTAAGTATTTTGTCCATGTACGGCATTTACTAATTAATACTGTAAGCCTAGGCCCAAGGTTAAAAATAAAATCTAATTTATATGGCCAATTAAATCGTAATAATATAAATAGCCTATTATAAATATATCAATGAAAACCAGTGAAAATAATAATACCAGTCAAATTTGAAAGCACAATAAATAATTAAGTAGTTACAAGAACAGTAATGCTAAGTCTAGTAATAATAGGCCAGCTCTCACTAATTCCATTGATCATCACAAAATAAAAAACTTAAACAGTAGATCGTTGTAGTTCAGGGCTGAAAATTCCTAAAATCCCAAAGCAGGTGAAAGATCAATAATTAGGCTTAATTAGCCTAATTCGAAAATAGATTAAAAAAAACTAATGTTAATTGAAATAAAAACACATTATTAATAGTGACAGAGATTACTACTGTACAGCCTTAATCACAATAGCCATGATATAACCAGGGAGTCATGTTAAAAAAAATTTAGAGTGACCCCTTTTTTTATACCAATTTCATTACAACTAGTACAACAGCTTTTACACTTTTTAATGACACACGAAAGCCCATTTTGGTTACATCCAAATCGATATTGAAAGTTTTTCACATTGTCCAAACTTCACCAACTATTGCGTTTAACCTACACTAAAGGAAGAAAATTTTTTCATTTTTTTTCGGCTATAAATAGCGTCGTTGTCTACAGTAGACTTAAATGAGGGGGAAAAACCTGTTTCACGTGGCAGGTTCAGATAATCATTTTAATTAAGCAAAAAACTACCCACGCTATGCTACAATCTGGTAGCTAAATTGCCAAGGGAGGCAACACCCAACACCTTTTTTAGTTGAATTTTTTCCTTAAATAGCCTAATAAAATCATTATAAAATATTGGCTAATAATTATTTTAACTTGTACATTCATTTGTTGGCAGTTCACACCAATGATTTGCATAATAAATATAATAGCCTAACTAAGCCCTAAGTGGCTACGTCTGTAAACTGAAAGTTAGTGTAAATGTAGATCTAGATGTAGTCAGTCAGTGGCTGAGACCATTCCAGGGGTAGGGGTAGTGAGAGATGACAGTGCCACTATGTAGGGTTTTTGGTTTTCTTTATAAGTTTATTTCAAAATGTTAGCCTAATTCAAACAGACAAGGAAAATAGATCTAGATTCTAGTCTAGAAAAATCTGCAATCTTCAATCTAGAAATCAAGGCCTAAGCCCGGACTAAGCCGGGCTAAATTCTAAATTTTTTCTAGAACCAAACTAGAGTAGAGATTCTATACAAATAATAAAAAATAGATTTACCATGCACATTTAAAATAGATTTCATAGCTATACTAGTTTTCTTGGTTCTTTAATTTATATGTGATCTATCTAGATCTATATATAAGAATAGATCTCTTATTGCTCTTGTCTTCTTAATCTTATCAGTTCATGCACTCAGCAAACCGTAGTAAACAGTCACGGATGTAAATAATCGATTCTCTAGTACAGCAGGGGTTCCGGTTGGTAGTCATGCACAAATGGACATCTAATTTATTTTAATTGAAAATTGTTAATTTTCAGCATAAAATATTTTTTTCTCTGATATTAAAATTTAAACAAATTCAGACAACATTTTAGAGATCTTTGTTTAGAAACAGTTTCAATTTTTGTATAACCATCATTGTGAAACCATGGAAACTAATGTTGCATTCAAGGGCAATGACTGCGAAATATTGAATGATTATTTTTTTAGTTACAAATATCCTAAATTTTCATCAAGCAGTCTAGCTTCGTTACTAACTAGACTCTAATAATTTAATTATGCTATTGACTCATCAGCAAAACAATGTAAACATATCGTTATTCGATTCGTGTAGCAATTTGTTTTAAAACATGCACATAATTAAATTTAATTAGGCCTATATTTATATTAAATTAATTATTAGGCCTAAACTAATTAATTAATTTAATTATATTATTCAATTCTGCCAGTCACATCTGTTTACTTTTACTAAACATTTGAAACAACAGTAAACATAACAATTTTTTAAAGTTAAAAATACAAAAAAAATAGCTTAGAAGTTATTGAAAGTCAACAAATTCAACATGGGTAGGTACATTCAAACATTGATTTGACCATCTGATTTATCATTGTGATTGTGTCAGTCCTGTTGCGGCTGTTATGTGTTAAGGCAGGGGCCTGTTTGTTACTGTTAGTGTTAGACTTAAGTCTTACGAACTGCTCTTTCCTTTTATTTTTTTCTTTGTATTAACAGTGTAACACTCTGTAACTGTATGTTCTTATCTCAGTGTCTAATGTTAATTATGTTAGGCCTAGAAATTAGTCTTTCCTTTCATCTTTGTTTGTAGTCTGATGTATTGTATTAGATATGAATAAATTGTATATCCATTATAAATTGTGTTATACATATAACTTTAAGAACCACCAAGCAATAATTGTTATTAAACATAAAAGAATATTCTGAGTCTTTTATTTCTTTCCATTCATATTGAGTGCCAGGACAAATTTTAGCAATATTAACTTTCTTTAGCAATTTTTACTTTCTCATATACGAAGTAAAGAGGAAGTATTGTAATAGTGCAAAAAAATCAAAATCAAGATTTTCACAAATCTCGATATTTTACACCTCCCTGAGTTGGAAAAATTTAGTTTTGCAATTTTGTCCATATGTCTGTGTGTTTATGTCTGTGAACACAATAACTTGAATACCATTACAGCTAGGTTGATGAAATTTGATATATAAGTATTATATCAAATTTTTAGTTTTCTATCAACTTTTCAGCTATGACTGAAAGTAGAACTTTACGTTATTTCCGATTTCTCAAAAAGAAATATGAATTTTTAAAGTACTAATATTCTGCAATATTTTACACACACATTTGGTGTTCACTTTGTGTGAAATTCTTTTTTCTATGAGATTCTATTCTGTATATAAAAGTTAAAGAAATTAAAAATTGATTAAAAATCATGTCAATATCCCAGTAGCCATCCCCCATAGTGTTATATATTTATGTTAGTTACCACTCTGTATGTATGACAACATCATTACTGTATTAGTTTCAACAATGAATTGGTTTTATAAAGCCTATTTTTGTTTATATATAAAGCTGCAGTTGCACTAAATAAAGAGATTACATCAGAGCGTGTAAAATTTGACACAACTAAACATCAGCTGGATGAACTTACAGAAGAAACCAGAGCTAACCCTGAAAATGAATCTATGACAGATGCAGAAATAGCAGAAAGGGTTGAAATCATTTTATTAGACAAAATTCAAGCTGGAGAAACAGCGGCCAAATTTCAACTTGGACTTCTGTATTTTCAACAGGTAACATTGCCTAGTACAATTGTGTACTTGTGTATTATCTTATCAAGCCAGCTATAGAGGAATGATGGCTTGTTTCAAGCTAAATGATATAGTAATATTATGGAAGCTCAAAAGATAACTAGTAAATGGCCATCATTAAATTCACATTAAAATTGTTGGTTTATAGTTATCATATTTACCATTTGCACAGAATAGAGGCATTAATAGTTAGTATTGTTAATGTGGTGCATAATAGTTTTATATGAATCAATTGTTATTTAACCAGAAATGTATTTGTAAAATAAACATGAAAAAAATTATTTTTTACAAAGAACTGTGTTACAAAATTATAAGCTATATTTACACTTCATTGTACTGTGTTAAGATATAAAGTGCAGTTTTTTTATTGCTTTTATTTAGGAAAAGTTTGAAAAGGCTTTATCTTTGTTTGATGATTCAAAGGATTTTGATTACCAATCTTTGTTTATGTATGGAATAATGAAGTATGATGGTATTGGTACAGAGGTCAATATGGTAATGTACATTCTTTGCTGAAAATTCTTTTTTACCTTTAATGAAAATTTAAGATTTCATTCTTAAGAAGTTTTTTCTCTGATTATTTTTTCTTCAAATATGTATTAATATGTGGGCTATTTAGCCTGCTGTAAGCACATTCTTCAGTTAAATCTTTGTAACCAGTAAGGATCACGTTGTTAAATAATCTATATATTTAAAAACTGTATTAAACCAAATACATTATTTAGAGAAATTTTATTTTCAGAAAGAAGGAATGGATAGCATGTTGATTATAGCTGAATCAGCTTCCAAATTCTGTAGGCATTTAATCTATGCAGCTAGATACAATTTGGGCAGAGCATTCTATCAAGGTTATGGTGAAATGCAGTCGGATTCAGAAGCTGAAACGTTAGTTATTTGCTTTTTAAACATTTTAGTTCAACCTTAAATAATTGAAAGGGTAAAACAAAAGAAGTTTTGAATTATTCACAAGTCTAAGTGCTGAGGTTTTCCTTATGGTAACTGTTCAAACAGGTGGTTTCTGTTGGCTGCAGATGATGGCAATCCTAAAGCCAGTGTCAAGGCACAAAGTGTTCTTGGAATGTTCTACTCTAGGCTGGGAACAGAATATCATGATTTGAAGAAAGCCTTTTTCTGGCACTCAGAAGCTTGTGGCAATGGAAGTCTTGAGTCTCAAGGTATATTTTGAAGATGTTGGACATTTTTTATTTTTTTGCATTTTGCTAAATTATTTCTCATGTATTATTAAGTATTAATTCAATTGAATAGTTTTAACAAAAATGATGAATGATATATATTTTTAAATGTTCAGCTATAAAGTAGTTAGTTTGATAATTAAATTGCCATTTTCAATTTTTAATGTTTTATTTTTAAAAGGTGCATTGGGTGTTATGTATTTGTATGGTATTGGTGTTAAAAAAGATATGGATGCCGCTTATATATGTCTGAAAGAAGCATCAAAAAGAGGAAACGTGTATGCCATGGGAAATCTTGTCACACTCTATTATAAAAGTAAACTCTACACAAAAGCATGTGACTTGGGCTACAAGTAAGAATGATGTACAACAAATTAATAAATAATAGCAGCATTTAAATTAAAACTTAAAAAATGGTTTATTGTTTGTTATCTTTAGCGTTTTACATTTATAAAGCTCATTTAATTACCAGTAAATGAAAAATTATTTGGACATTAATTTGATTTTTTTAATCTTATAAAATAAATCTTAGGCAAGCTTTTGGTTACCTGTTGGAGGGGTGTTGGCTAGGTCTACTTTTACCTTAGTTTGTGACTTGGTTTGTTGTATCTCTTAGGACAGCTCAGCTAAATGAGGAAGATGTGCCAGTTTTGGCAACAGATACAGATTGTCTCCCTTTATATATTGCTAAAGGAATAGCGATGGCTTGTTTTATATATGCTCGATGTCTAGTTGGAGGTCATAGTCTCAAACCTAATAAAGAACTGGCAAAAATATACTACTCAAAGGTAATATTTCTTGTGAAATACTCGTTACATCTTATGGGACAGAGTGGTTGAATGGCAGAGCATTCAACTTCTAACCTGAAAGTCTTGTTGAGTTCAAATCCGGGTTTAAGTATGTATACCATTCCTGTGTCCACCCAGCTCTGAAAGTAAAGGCGGCTGGGCATAGTGCTGACCACACTATCCCTTCATATGCTGAGGTCACAGAAACTTCACTTGTCCCAAGGACCGTAAGATTCAAAAGGGAACTTTACTTTAATAACATTTCAGCCTCTCTAAAAGTTAAAGAAGATATTAGAATTGAAAATATTATTAAAAGAAGGATATTTGATCAATGACTAATGTCTTAGTGAAATGGGAATTGAGAAAATCTAGACAATATATGTTACCTTAAAATATTATTATTTTAAAAAGGATAATTCATCAATGGCTAATGTCTTAGTGAAATAACAAGTTAGCTATAAGTTGTTTGAAAAGCTAAGTTGTCATCCAAAAGAATAGAATGATGTAGTTGGACTCTTGGAAAGCTCCTATTTCCCTTACTAGGATATTTGATTGAAGTAGTGTTAATAGTTGATAGCACATGCCAAACCATTTCTTTGCTGTTTTCTATTATCTGAAGTAGCAATTATCATATATCTGTGTCATTGTATAATCAATGTTGGATATAATTAGGATTTGCCCCTCTTCACCCACTCCCAAACTATTTAGGAAGCTGCCAAATGTCTGAGTTCTTAAGATTATTTTGCCCTAAAGGCCAACAATTATAAACAGACTAACCAAATGCACCAAGGGCGTACTAATTTCCCAGTGGCCAACCAAACAGCCTAAAGATCCTACTAAACACCTGGAAGATCTAGTCCACATACCAACTACCAACCAAACACCCTAAAGATCCTACTAAACACCTGGAAGATCTAGTTCACATACCAACTACCAACCAAACAGCCTAAAGATCCTACTAAACACCTGGAAGATCTAGTCCACATACCAACTACCAACCAAACAACCTGAAGATCCTACTAAACACCTGGAAGATCTAGTCCACATACCAACTACCAACCAAACAACCTAAAGATCCTACTAAAAACCTGGAAGATCTAGTCCACATACCAACTACCAACCAAACAACCTAAAGATCCTACTAAAAACCTGGAAGATCTAGTCCACATACCAACTACCAACCAAACAACCTAAAGATCCTACTAAACACTTGGAAGATCTAGCCAGAGGCGTAGCGACCCTTCCCGGCGCCCGGGGACAAACTTTCAATTTGGCGCCCCCTTCGGGATCAACCTTTCAGTTTTCAATTTGCACACCCCCCCCCCCCCCCCCCCTCAAACTTTCGATTTCCACAACTCACCACCTCATATATTTTTTTTTATATTTATAAAGCAAAAAGGCAGCTAAAATGATATTTTAATTTGTTTTTCCAACCCATTTTGGCGCCCCCTAAGGTCGGCGCCCGGGGACATATGTACCCCCCTGCCCCCCCTTCGCTACGCCTCTGGATCTAGCCCACATACCAACTACCAACCAAACAACCTAAAGATTCTACTAAACACCTGGAAGATCTAGTCCACATACCAACTACCATGTCCTGACAGGTTCCAGCATACCACAGGAACTTGGTCTCCACAGCCTATCCAACTGCCATGTCCTTACTTGGTCTCCAAAGCCTATCCAACTGCCATGTCCTAACTTGGTCTCCAAAGCCTATCCAACTCCCATGTCCTAACTTGGTCTCCAAAGCCTATCCAACTGCCTTGGCCATCTGCTGGTTAAAGGTTTTTAGCTGTATCAGAATGTGCAACAGCAAGGTGGACTATACTTCTCTTGACAGAAGCTGTCCGTAAAAACCCATTAGGTGCCCAAGTACTCAGCAGAAATCACCCAATGTAACCAAGAGGTGCTGTGATAAGGGCTGGAAACATGCATGAGGCAAAAATGCAGTTCTGTACATGAAGAATTGGGACTGCCAGCTGTTAACTGGTTTAGGGCATCAAGGTTTTGGTGATGAAATATGAGGGCAGAAGTTGATTAAAAATTTATTCAGTGTAATGTGTTGATGTTCTAAAAGCAGAAATGTTTAAAGTTGTATTTTTAGAAAAATAGCAAATTCTCCTTTAGCCAAGAACTTATATTACATTTTGCATTCAGCCAAACATTTTGTTATTATTCCATTCTATTTATCATAGTCAAAAGATGTTCCCTAATCATGCAGATCTTAATGTGAAATAAAACCATCACAAGTGTAGATGATATACAGAAATTCACAAGGAAATCCTATGGCATGTAGATGATTATCTGTATACTTGTCTCTTTAATTTGATGATTTCAGCATTGTCTTCAGAATATTACTTTTCCAATGATTTGAAGATTATAAGAAATTTTACACAAAAATACACAGGGATAGAGAACCATTCATGTTTACAAAACCCCATTAACTAACAAATTACTACTCTTTTGCTTAAATCCCCCATACAGTTAAAAACTCTTTTAATTTTTTCAGAGCTATCGTTTCGATCCCGACATCTGTGCTTTGCTTCAGCATTCAACACAGCAAGGAACCATTTAGCTTGAAGTCACAAGTTTTATCATAATTTAACTTTAAGTAACATCTTACATCCAATTATCATAAAATTCAGAGAATTAGCATCAAAACAATATAACAATGTTACATCATAAAGCAGGCCTAATTTACATCAGCCTCTTAAAAATTGTGCATGTTTTTTGAGTAATAACTTTTTGTGAAACTTTTCCATTGACATCAAAACTAGAAGTTCATGTTAATTTTACTAAAAATGTAAGTTCAAAAATAATTACACAAGCAAACTTCCGTATTATGGATAATTCAAAATTAATATTTTTAAGTAGTCATTGAAGTTTCATTAGCCATGTTTTTTTTAAGTATCTGTGATGTGTAGGCCCACTAAAAATATTAATAAATAAAATAATTTAATTGTTATCCAATAAAGTGTATTGCCCTTTAAAACATGATAGGCCTTAAGCCTAGATGAGTTCAGCCTATTTACAGGTGGACTGGAGGACTTTAAAGCTGAAAGGAATTATGAGCTCCAATCATGAGCTAGTGATTATTAAATGTTGATTAACAAACACTTGAAGCTAAAAATAGCTAGCAGAAAATTAGACCATCTCACCCAAAAGTTGTCTGTTTTATGTCCAATTACAGCTAAATTGAATCCCCCACCCACCCCAACCTTTACCCCCACACAAACTTACACTTCTTTCAGTATTAAAATTAAAACACACTTTAAATTACATACTTATATTTATACAATAACTTTTACACTATCCTTTTTAATGCTTTGATTTTGATTCTTTCATTTTAAGTTATTTCACAAAAATGAGATTATATATGATTTACACACACATTTCATTGTGATCTTTTGTTTATATATTTATATAATAAATTATGTAAATATACTTCAATCAAAGGTAATATCATTTTTCACTTCATAGCTTAATTTTGTTTTGTCTATCTTTTTTTTTTCATTCAATGCTTGACATGTATATCTATTACTTATTTTCATCCCTATAAACTATAAACAACATCAAAATAGCTTTCAAGCATTTTTTCAATAAAGGAATTACCCATAAAGATACTTGTGGGACTGTTTTAAATGTATTTAATGCTGCCTGCAATATTTGCCTCAACTTCAATTAAATAAAAAATGTACAGAAACAAATTTTTGGTGAACAAACAATATCGGTATTTTTTCTATTAAATTTTCATTTATTACTGTATTTTTCAACTGTCTTTAACTTAATGACAAAAGAAGTTATGGTGCTTATGTTGTTTTCTACATTAAAAGTATGCACAGAAGCTGTCAAATACAGCTTCAAGAGTTTGTGTATGCTTTTCCAAGCAACTGTCATAGGGCCATCATGCCCTTTATTTGTCTTCAATATTTGTTCTTCCTTCTACTTTGATGGGGTTTTCCAGCCTGCTCTAACTTCCCTGCAAACATGTACAACAAACACACAATGTCTGGCATGTTTTCCCCACCAGTGGCAGCAACCAGCGGTCAGCAGCTTTTATTTACCATGACCTCACAACAGGCCATTTCATTGCTTTCAGCAGGTATCTTCAAACACAGCCTAGTTATTTAAAGAGGATTCTAAAATCATGCACAAAATTTCATCCGTTTTAGTCTTGGCGGTTGCATATCATAATATTCTGAAAAAGCAAATGCAAATGGGCTTGGGACAATTAATGAAAAGTTTCCAGTAATAGTTAGAATTGGACTAGCCTGTATCAAATAATATTTATTAACTTGTTACCTAGAGACATTAATCAAAATGTGGCTGCGTATATTTTTGGTCGTGGTTTTATCTGTAATGTCATACTCCTATGACTACTACTACTATGATCCTACAATTTGTGAGAATGTTCAGCCAGGACTATGGGTAAGTACAACAATGATGTATTTTACATGTTAAAAATACCAACATATTTTATCTCTTTGAATCAACTGATAATTGTATCCCACTGCAAAGATTCTATTGACCATTAGCTGATTTCTGCCACGTGGCATAACATTAAACTGATCAACCTTTCAGGTCCGTGACACTGTGGACTGCACTATAGCCCATCAGTGTGGCTTTGACATGGAAGTGATTCAATCCATTCAGTGTAACTCCAGTCAAGTCTGGTCCAAGCTAGCCTCTGCCTGTGTGTGGGAATGGGATCCAGACAGAGATGACTGCAATGGCCGACCACAGCTATCTATATCTAGTAATGTTTTAAGTTTATTTGTTTTTTTTTTCTCCCATTTGTTTGTAGACTGTTAGATAGGGTCACCTGTTTATTTTTTACAAGCTAAAGCCCATCCCTTGAGAAAGGCAAAATTGCTACAAGTGAAAAAAGAACACCAAGTGTTCAGATAAATTTATGCATGTAGAGCCATTTTTTAAATAGATGTTTATTTTAAAATACTTTAAAAAATATTTAAAACTAATAACTTTCTACAAAGATTTTGATGTTAATGTCTATGGGTAGGCTTTAGTTTGTTTTCCCCTTACATTGAAGGTGACCCAAGATGTGTTAAAAAAACTGGTAACAACCCCCACCCAGAGGACTGCTCTAAGTTCCTCTCATGTTCCAATGGGACAATGGTTGCAGAACAACGCTGTTCAGATGGAACACTGTATTGGCCTAGAAATGAAACCTGTGAATTTGCAGAGTCTGTGGCCTATGACTGTGGTCAGAGAAAGATACCCATGTCCATTCCGATTTGTAAGTATGAAGGGATATGAGATTAAAACAGATTTAAGCAAAGTAGCTGTACATTTAAATGAATATGACAATGTTATAAATTTACTTTTAAATTTTTAAGATGCACATGCTTTATAACCAATGTGTATCATTATCAACTCTTAGCATTTTAAGTGCAAATTCGACATACATCCCTAAGTCAATCAAACCCCCCCCCAGAAAACCTGGAGTAGGACATGACTTTAAAACTATTCCTAACATTAAACTTAATCTTAGAATTAGGGTTAGAGCAGAGGTTAGGATATAAGTAAGGTCTAGAACATATTCAGGAAGAAATTACTATCTTTTACGTTTTTGTGGTTTCCGTGCTTAGCATTCTATAGGTATGTGTAAGCATGCTATGCATTTCCAGATTTCTTACTTTGTTGACAATTATAATAGTTATACTTAAGGGGGCGTCACTGTTAATTGCTGTGGAGGAAAACTGGGAAGGGGTAACTTTATCTGGGGGGGTTGGTAAATAACTGATGGTTAGGTTATGTCTTAGACCCCTCAGCTCTACGCTGTTGTCAAAGTGGAGTTGAGATTTAAAAAGCTGACTGACAGCCATTGTGTGGTGTGGCTCAGCTAGCGTTATCCATGGTGTGGTATGGCTCAGCCATGGTGCATCATGGTTCAGCAAGCAGTCTCATGGTGTGGTATGACTCAGCCAGCAGTATCCATAGTGTGGTATGGCCCAGCCATGGTGTGGTATGGCCCAGGAGTGAGGTGGTATGGCTTAGCCAGCGTTACCCATGGTGTGGTATGGCTCAGCCATGGTGCATCATGGTTCAACCAGCAGTCTCATGGTGTGTATGGCTCAGCCAGTTAACCATGGTGTGGTAGGCTCAGCTAGCAATACCCAATTTTTCTCCCTAATATTATAGACTACTTTAATTTCAGATGAAGAAGATCCACTTTGCAAGCTGAATGGTCAAGTGCCGGATCCATCAAGCTGTCGTCATTTTATCCAATGCCTTCATGGCAAGAGAGTGCAAAGAATACAGTGTCCTCGTGGCACAGCATTCTCCGATAAAACACGCCAGTGTGAATGGTATGAAGAGGTGCGCTGTGGCAGCAGGGTTGTTTAAAACCAAACAGAATTTCCCCCTGATCATGTTCATCAACTCCAGAAAGCTTGGCCCTCACAATAGTGCTTGTGTTTTGATAACCTTTGTTACTGAACTCATTTGTACTTACTAGACAAAGTGTGAAGATGTACTTTGATTTAGTGGTTATAAAACTTCATAATTAGAACATTGATACTGTTTACATCTTAGCTGATGCATTACTTCATTTCACAGCCTCTTAGAGTCATCTAAAGTGTTCACAGTCTTAATTTTTTGTTTGCATGTAATTATATACTCTGTATTCTTTAAGTAACTAGACAACATAACAAAGATTTATGAATTAAATAAAACAGTTTATTTTCTCTTAATATTCCCATAGTTATTTACTATAGGAATATGACATCACCATTGAAGTATTGCTGCTGTACCATATGTTTCCTATCATAAATGCATGATATGTAGAATAAAAACCAAAAACACTTTTTTCTTCTTTGTAAAATCCTTTATGACACATGTAACAAAAAACTAAACATGGTGTACATGTTACTTTAATGCTACAATAAAATAGGAAAGAAAAAAGAACTGTGAATCAGTTAACTGACTGAATTACAGTCCCTTACATTTCACAAATATGCATGATGTACTCACAAATGAAATTAAAACAACATAATTCAGGGACTATTTTTCTAAAGCCCAAAATCAACAATCAACTCCACTTTAAAAAGTGAAATATTAAGGCATATCATTAAACTTTGTTTTAAATGTTCAATGTGAACACATGAAGTCCTTTTTGCCACACATTTAAAAATTGGTATAAGATCAGTTCTATCTGGTGACTAAAATCCTGCAGTTGCACACCATAAGTCACAACATGGCTATGTATATACAACTATCAGAAATATAACTTATTCTAACTTTATCTTAGAAGCTAGCTCATCACTCCAGAGAAACTTAGTTTTAAAACAATGAGTTTCTCACACTGCAATATCTACACACAATCTAATGGTACAACAAAAACTGCAGGTTCAGTGGCAAACTATCAACACATTAGTTTTCTCAAAATTCAAAAAATATTTACAAGCAATTTTTTAAAAGCTACTAAATCCAAAATATGAACAATATTGGAAGTTGCTCATCAAATATTATTCTCTTACTCAACAAACTGAATGCATAAAATCATAAATAAAATGCTTTATCCAGTTGACAACACTGCATATTCACTATCATTATTAGCCAACCATAAAAACTAAGTTAAATGGGGAAATAAAGTGAACTCAGTTTCCCATCATTGGCTTGATAAAACATGGAGTAGTCATAATACAGCTTAGTTCAGGTGGTTTGGTAACATTTCCAGATCTGCTGAGCCCATCTTTCCTTGTGATGATGTAGTTTCCAGTGTCAATGTTGCTGCTTCCATAATGCTAACCATTCTAGGATCTTATCTAAATTTGACTCAAGCTGATCAGCATTGTCTGAAGGCAGCTCATGAACTATTTCTTCAGGGTATGAATCTTTAGCAGCATCAAGAATTACTTGAAAAATTTCAGATGATATATTTCCCTCTATTTTTTTTTCATTATACCCTCTGTAAAAAATAAATTAAATGTAATAACCCTTTAGTTCTAAAAAGTATCATTTAAACAAGCTATTCAATAATTAATATTTAAAACACTACACACAGAACAAGAAATAGTAAAAAATGTACACCACCTCACAAAACCAAAATCACTTTAACCACTATACCAGGGGTCGGCAACCTTTTGAAGCAGAAGAGCCAAAAGTTACAATTTTCAAAATTTTCCTGGTTTTAAAGAGCCACTAATATTTTTTTTAATTCAAATATTTTATTTTTTTATTAAGATTATTAGTATTTGTTCAAGGAGCTGGAGAGCCGCATCTTGATATCAAAAGAGCCGCATGCGGCTCGCGAGCCGCAGGTTGCCGACCCCTGCACTATACCATATCAATAAACTAATCAGTAATTTTAGAAAGTAGACTGGTATTCATCACTGTAATCAATACAAAGGATACTCTAGGTGGCTCTCATTGATATATTTATACAGCAACAAGAAAAGCATCCTGCTAGCTTTAACACAACATATCCATAGCAACACGTCACAACCAAAACATATTTAGCAACATGCTAACACCAAAGCACACTACCACATCATGCTAACACCACAGCACACTACCACATCATGCTACCTTCTCAACATATCTACAGCATCACATTACCACATCATGCTACCTTCTCAACATATCCACAGCATCACATCATGCTACCTTCTCAACATATCCACAGCATCACATCATGCTACCTTCTCAACATATCCACAGCATCACATTACCACATCATGCTACCTTCTCAACATATCTACAGCATCACATTACCACATCATGCTACCTTCTCAACATATCTACAGCATCACATTACCACATCATTCTACCTTCTCAACATATCTACAGCACCACACTACCACATCATGCTACCTGCTCAACATATCTACAGCATCACATTACCACATCATGCTACCTTCTCAACATATCCACAGCACCACATTACCACATCATGCTACCTTCTCAACATATCTACAGCATCACATCATGCTACCTTCTCAACATATCCACAGCATCACATCATGCTACCTTCTCAACATATCTACAGCATCACATCATGCTACCTTCTCAACATATCCACAGCATCACATCATGCTACCTTCTCAACATATCCACACTACCACATCATGATACCTTCTCAACATATCCACACTACCACATCATGATACCTGCTCAACATATCTACAGCATCACATTACCACATCATGCTACCTTCTCAACATATCCACAGCATCACATCATGCTACCTTCTCAACATATCTACAGCACCACATTACCACATCATGCTACCTTCTCAACATATCTACAGCATCACATTACCACATCATGCTACCTTCTCAACATATCTACAGCACCACACTACCACATCATGCTACCTTCTCAACATATCCACAGCATCACATTACCACATCATGCTACCTTCTCAACATATCTACAGCATCACATTACCACATCATGCTACCTTCTCAACATATCTACAGCATCACATTACCACATCATGCTACCTTCTCAACATATCTACAGCACCACACTACCACATCATGCTACCTGCTCAACATATCTACAGCACCACACTACCACATCATGCTACCTGCTCAACATATCTACAGCATCACATTACCACATCATGCTACCTTCTCAACATATCCACAGCACCACATTACCACATCATGCTACCTTCTCAACATATCTACAGCATCACATCATGCTACCTTCTCAACATATCCACACTACCACATCATGATACCTTCTCAACATATCCACACTACCACATCATGCTACCTGCTCAACATATCCACAGCATCACATCATGCTACCTTCTCAACATACCCACAGCATCACATCATGCTACCTTCTCAACATATCCACAGCATCACATCATGCTACCTTCTCAAAATATCCACAGCATCACATCATGCTACCTTCTCAACATACCCACAGCATCACATCATGCTACCTTCTCAACATACCCACAGCACCACATCATGCTACCTTCTCAACATATCCACAGCATCACATCATGCTACCTTCTCAACATATCCACAGCATCACATCATGCTACCTTCTCAACATATCCACAGCATCACATTACCACATCATGCTACCTTCTCAACATATCCACAGCATCACACTACCACTTCATGCTACCTTCTCAACATATCTACAGCATCACATTACCACATCATGCTACCTTCTCAACATATCTACAGCACCACATTACCACATCATGCTACCTTCTCAACATATCCACAGCATCACACTACCACATCATGCTACCTTCTCAACATATCCACAGCACCACATTACCACATCATGCTACCTTCTCAACATATCCTCAGCATCACATTACCACATCATGCTACCTTCTCAACATATCCACAGCATCAAACTACCACATCATGCTACCTTCTCAACATATCCACAGCACCACATTACCACATCATGCTACCTTCTCAACATATCCTCAGCATCACATTACCACATCATGCTACCTTCTCAACATATCCACACTACCACATCATGCTACCTTCTCAACATACCACAGCATCACATTACCACATTCTGGTCACATTCTCAACAGGGATGTGGCCAGACAATGGAATAAAATTGGAATTTTTTTCAATCCAGACTGTAATGATCTATTTGCACTCTTGTTTTTAATTTCTTGTCTTATCTTTGTAAACATCGACATGGTAGCCCCTGTCTATACTTTGAAAAAGGTTTTGACATTCAAGAGCCTAGTTGTAATTTTACTTCTTAGTTCATGTGATGGATAATGAGATCAACCAGAATAGCTGAAATTACATTGGGCTAACTAGATTCTAGAAGCATGTCAGCCATTTATACAGGTCTTTTTTAGGGTTTTTTATTTCAGAATTTTTAAAACTTTGTAAAAAAAAATGTCAAAAAAATTAGAAGAAAATTGAAATAGCGGAGGGAAGTGTAGCTCTAACTGAAAAATTGGAACAGTCACATCCCTGACTTGAAAATTTCCATAACAACTTGCTAACACTATAGCATCATGCTATGTTAGCATCATAACATATCGACAATGTACTGAGAACACAAAAACATAACCACAGCATCAAGCTACTACCATGGCAACAGCCAAAACCCATTACAGAGGGATTTACAAAAGTAAACATACTGAACTTTAATTTACCTTTCTGTCAGTCGTGAATGTAGAATAGTGTTGTCTGTGCGAAGAACAAATACAATGTCAAACCATCGTTGAGGAAAAAATTCACATGAGTGATAGTCTACAATGTTTCCACCTGCAGACATGGTTTCTTCAAGTTCATCAATCACCTAATCAGAAAAAAGTGAGCTCTCTTACAGCATTTCTATATTACATAAGTATGTATAGATTTATTATGAAAAATGTTTCTCTTATGATCTAGGAAGTATTCTCTTAGTTTAGGCAGTGCTAGACTTAATTGTTCAACTTGATATAGCAAATCATGCAGTCATGACATCAAGTTCCGTTATACATGTGAATCCATATTGTACATATTCATCCAACCACTTTTTTTTTTGTTCGCTATAGTTAGTGTTAAGGGATTAAAATATTAAGAAAGAAATCATGACGACAGTACCAAATCGACAACTGGGCCATGCATATATAAATAAAAAATATAATTGTCACAGCACGTGAATACACAGCCCAACACCCAGCTGTATGTGTGGCGTAGACAACATTGGTGACATCAAAAGTTCCACGATAAAAAAATATATCACAATACTGATACATGATATCTCAATTTAGCGCACTTTAATAGTAATGTTGTTGCACTGTTGTATTAAACTATTATCAGCCGCTGCCGCTAGCTTACTATCTGCACTGACAAAATCCCATCACAAATCATGAGTCAGGTGTATGTTGTCACCCTGCCCAACTCCTGAGACTGACTCACTGAACCCCTAGGGTGCAATCAAACCCAGTTTAAGAACCACTGATCTAGCTGTAGCCTTTTTCATTAAATTTAAAGCACAAATAAAAGAGAATTTAAATAAATAAGCCCTTTTATGAGAAAAATCATCACTTTAAGGTAGTGGTACTAATAAATTTTTTAGCTAGCTTATGATTTTCATTTGATCTCTTTGCACTAAGCGAAATAAAGAACGTTGGGTTCTTTCTCATTTTATAAAACACCAGTCTATCAAGTAAAACTACTTAATTGTTCAATAAGAGAAAGATGGTGAAATCTAATGAGGCGAGAAAGAGAGAATGACAATTTTCAGTAATAGCTAAAATTCTGGAAGTAAATGTACATAAGAGGATGATGACAAGATGTACCTAATCGGTGTTACACTTACAATAAGCACTGTTTTACTTGTAAGTACTTTAATTTTTTAAATAAAGCTCTGTTCTAATTTAAAATCTTGCACTTTAAACAGAATTTACTTTGTCTTCATCAAGTATACCACATTGAAGCTCCTCATCATAACCATCCATGCAATCAGCTTGCTCAGCAACTTCTCCAATATTAATATAATTCAGTCCACTTCGCTGAGACAACTCCTTGGCAAGAGTGGATTTACCAGTACCTGGTGTACCTAAATGAAAAAGGATAGGTTGTTTTTTTTTTCAAAATAAAAATTGGCATTTTAGACAACAAAGGATAACCAAAAATCTAATTAACCTACTTTCCAAGTCAGTTAAAAATTAATTGAAGCCTATCACTACACAAGATAAAAATCTAAGACACTCAGTCATTAATAAAATGTTGATACTAGATAGCAGTAAAAATAATTTACTGAAGAATAGTTTTATCTAACTATATCTAATATCTACTATCCTCTGACCTACTACTAGATCTAAATCTAGATTCTATTCTTTTTTTTTACCTGCGCCTATCTTAGGAGTTAGAATAAAACACTTGTCCTAAACTTTATGTCAACGTTGAATGAATAGCTAAGACTAGATTAAAAGAAAATTGGGAAGCCCTGATATCTATTTTTTTAGATCGCGATCACCTAGAGTAGAGAAAACATTTAGCCTTTTTTAGCGGACAGCAGAGCCAGAGCGATCCACAGCCAAATTAAATTTTAAAGTTTTTAAAGTAAAGTCTGCATCAAACTTCAAGAAAAATGTTCACATTTGTTAACATGTTGGAATTCAAGTGCAGTATAAATTTTCACAGATATTATAATAATAATAATTTAAATAATTATAATAAATTATATAGGGAGGCTCACTAACTTAAAAGCGTCCTTGGTTGCTAACCAGAACATGGCGTAAGGATCGGACCATGACTTCCGGCGAGTTTTTCGACTTAGTTCCAGAGACCTTCTTAGAATTACTTTTAAAAATGTTTATCACGAGTAAAATGGCGGGTTTTCACGTTATAAAAACATGCTATAGGTGGCAAGGTTAAATATGCCAGAAAAGCATTTTCAGAAATTGCTTTGGGGAATGTAGGCTAAATTTAAAGTCGGTGTCATTCAAAATAATTTAACTTTTTAAATATAGATCTCCCTCTCACAAAATTGATTTCCATAGTAAAGCATTATTAGTTTTATCATTCTATGAAAAAATAAATCAAATATCTTCAACCGTTTTTTTATAAGATCGACCGAGAAATGACAACCACATTTTTTTTATTTTTTTTGACCACGTGACCGCTATTTGAATGGATACGTTTACCTGGCATGGTTTTTTATTTTGCTCTTTTGTACAATAAAAAATGTCATAAAATTAAAGAAATAAAAGAATTCAAAAATCACTTCTGTCTTGTCTTTTTTTTAATTCTTTTCTGATGACATTCTCTTAAATTTTTTTCCTCTAAAAATATTACCCGACGATAGACGGGCCAATTCTACTTTTAGGAACTCTCTTGTGAAAAAAAATTAGATCTATTTCACGGTCACTTAAAAAGTTAAACCTTTCAACTTTTAACCAGGTTGTCATGGATGATCCGTCATATCATAGCTGTGAGTGACAAATAAATTTAAAATTCAATAATTTAGTCTAAACTCGCTACAACCCCCAAATTTAGTGCCTAGAGGATAAAGTATGGACGTTTTTTATTCAGTTGTCATGTTTAAATTGAGAATTAAGTAGATTTCACAAATAGTAAGAAAAACTAAAATTATAGGTTAGTTCACTTTACTTTACAACCCCCCCCCCCCCCCCCCCAAATCAATCAGGTTCAGTTGTAGAATCTAGATCTTAAGTAGATTCTAAAATGCGAGACAAAAACGTTAGGTGACAGGCCTTTTTCGTACCCTTCTCAATTTAATTTTATTATTAAAATAATTTTTAATTAACTCCAACTCCTCGCCATTGCCATTCTTCTAGCTCTAACGGTTGCTCACAAGCTAGCTGCTAGATCTAGATCTAGATTCTTTTAAATATTTAGATACCTATATCTAGGACCTTTTAGGAACTACACGTAGACTCAAGTTATATTCTAGATCTAGACGTCTAGGTTCAAATGTACCGTACCAGCAATCATTATATTTGGTGCAACACGTGAAACAGCTGCCATTTTTTGTTTATATATTTTGGTTTCTCTAATCACCGCTAGATTACATTTTTTAATCAGATCAAGGTTCTAGATCAGTGGTTCCAAGACTTTTTGAAGTAGCGACCCCCTTTTATAAAAAATAAGTGACCCGCGACCCCCATGGAATTAAAAAGTCGAAATTAGTAAGGAAATTAATAAGCACTAAAATAAGATTTTTTTAGTAGACTTTCAATATCAATTATTCGTGATAACTGTTTTAATACGGTGAGTGAAAGTACATGCTATTACTACTATTAGCTAACCTCAACATTCGCGGTTGAGTTTTTGTTAATGCCAACCTCATGTCATTCTCAACATTTATTTCTTTGTTTTATTTTTTGTTGGGAACATTTTGAAAATCTCTTCTCACGAAGATATGTAGACACAAAAGGAACTAAAACTCGAAAGGCAATCAATTTCACGTTGGGGTATGAATGACTCATACTTCACCCAAATTGTGTTTAACAAATGTACGTGACGCGAAATCATTCCGCAAATCAAAGATTGCATCTTTTAATTCATCGGGAATGCTGGCAACATCTAGAGAAGCAGAGAATGGGCTATGTGTCAATGCAGATTCTTCTTTCAGCTCAGGGGAAAATAACGCTGTTCGTTTTCAAGAGATTCAAATAAATCCCAGAATCCTGGGTGAAATATCACTTTATGTTTATATTGCTATTTCAGTTACAACGCCTGCTTCCACCCCTTACCATGTTTACACTATACCCATTCAAGGAAGCTACTATTTGTCTGTATCGTCGTCCCTATACTTGTGTCGCTTGTCTGGTCGAATAATAGTCCTTGTTGTGTCTATAAGGCTAGCGGTCAGACCCTTTAGGGTTCAGAGGTCACGCCAGCCCGCGTCTTCCGTGTCACAGGCTATGATAGTGGTCTGCCAAGAAAGCTCCATTTTTGTAGAGCTGATTGGTAGAGTCGGTTACACGTCTGACTTGAGGCATGGAAGGCGAGGCGATTTGGTGCCGTAGTGGTAGGTTCGGAACCCGTCGGGTCTGTCTGTTCTGTCTTTACTTGGACTATATTCTGTACCTTTGTCTACCCTTGGCGTTGAAATATCACTTTATGTTTATATTGCTATTTCAGTTACAACGCCTGCTTCCACCCCTTACCATGTTTCAAATGTTTATTTATTTCACATTCAGATTCATCTACCACACTGCAGAGTTTCTCAAACATGACAATATTTCCAATATTTATATTTTTCTTCGCCAATTTTGCAGCTTTGATTTTTTTTTTACAGAACCCTTTCCTAGAGTGTTATAATTAAACTCCCCAAAGTTTCATGCCTATCGGATGAACGGTGTCAAATCAAAATCTACTTTTATTTTTATATACTGTACATAGAGAAAAATTGCACCCTCCTGTGACGCCGCCCTTGCGAAATTAAAAAAATTTTTTTTCACATAACCTTTTTATAAGAAAACAAAGAGAGATGAAGTTTTATTATAACATCAGGCTTTGACTCAGACCTACTTCAATGGCGTCTACATTATTAAACTGATTAACTGTTTAATGTAAGGCTCAATAATTGGCTCAGTGAACTAGCCTTGAAAGTTCGAGTTTTGTAACGCTGTTACTAGGCTAGCAAAATGGAAATGTGCATATCATCTACACAAACACCCAACCACCTACCTAACTACCCACCCACACACCCACGCCCCCAATTAACTACCTACCTACCCACCAACCCACACTTACCCATCTACCAACCCATATATATATATATATATTGTAACGTTTTTACTGCTCTCAAAATGTGCTGTTCTATTGTAATATTCTTGCTTCTATCAATTGTAACGTTCTTCTTCGCTTCTATTTCTCACTCTCAGTCACAGTCACAGACGATCAAGAATGAAGAATAAGCCGTCTTCTGCAAATCTTTATTTGACTATCTTTCTTGAGCGGGAATTGTCTGTGTAGCGCGCATCTAACAAGACTATAGCGCCAATACGTGTGCTGCATAAATTACTGGCTAGGGCCGTCGTTTCTCCATCCCATCTAAGGCTAACCCACCGGTTTATATACCCCACCCGCGAGCATCTCGGATGACACCTTGCTCTTGGCACGAATTCTAACGCTTACCTGTGAAAATTTCCCCCGCTTTTGTGCTAACCGACCCCAAATAACCCTATATAAAAACTTAACGCGATCTCCTAAAATTCTAATAAGCATATCCTCTGAAACCACAGACAATTCCCTTTACAATGATACAAATTACAATAAACATCAATAAGTTGTTCTTCAACAATAATACTTCAAACATGCAAATATTGTAAAAATATCATCAAATACACCTAATTAAAGTAGATTTCCCTAATATCGGCTTGCTCCTAACTAACACTAAGATATTCTAATTAAAGATCAAGCTTGGCCTAATAGTTCTTCCAATTTTCATGCTATAATCTAATATATAAAGCTCAGTTCTGTATGTAAAAATACATATGTTTGTCGTTGACATACTTGGATGGATTAAAGTGTTAGACAATTATCGTGCGCATTAGTCTGGATTTATGAGTTACAAAATTACTATTGAAAGTGTTGGGAAATAATTTTCATTTTTCAAACTGATAGTAATAATTGTCGGCATGTTCATTAAACACAAGTTTTAAAAAAATATCATCTTTTACAAAAATTCTAATTATGTCCTTATTTAGTCCTATAGCACTTACTTCCCTTTGATAAATTAGGAAAACACAATTACTTCCCTTTATAAAACCATTGCATTAGTGCAGGGGTCTCCAAACTTTTCAGTCCGAGGGCCGCATTAACTATCAAATTTCAGTTCGGGGGCCAGTTTCTTCCAGGCATGTCATTGATTTTTCTGGGCAAAGTTCCTCAGCCATCACCAACAAACGATTTTTCGTTGGACAAAAAAGTTCTCCGCGGGCCGGATGAGAGGACTTCGCGGGCCGCATCCGGCCCGCGGGCCGTAGTTTGGAGACCCCTGCATTAGTGGAAAAGAATTTACTTTTTATTACTTTGTTTTGGTGTTGGGAAAAAAATAATTACATAATTAGCGGGGATTGATCAAGTGCAAATGTTGTAGGTATTTTACGGATAAGCTTGGAGTATTAAAATTGTTCATTAAATTGAAACAGGCGCGTTCGTTTAAGTGAGTGCAAAAGACTATGAATAAGTTGGGGTACTATAGTCGTTCATTAAGCTAAAACAGGTGATTCCGCCCCGGGCGTTGATGTTCGCGTTAGTGTTTTCTTTGTGTTTAGGTGGGTTTACGTTAGTGGTTGCGTTTTGATTTGGTTCGTTTTTGTTCTTTCTTTTTTCTTTTTTGTTTGTGTTTTTTTCTTTGGGTTTGTATTTGTGTTTTTGGTTGGTTTTGCGTTTGGATTTGGTTTGTTTTCGTTTGCTTTTTCGTTGTTTTTTTGTGTTGGT